ACAATGGCGGAGCAGGGGCCTCGGGTATACCACATGTGACCTCGGCCTCGAGATCAGTGACCATGGATTCCGGGGAACTCGCTAGAATTATTCAAGAAGGAATTACGGCGGGCCTACTTCAGGGCAACAAAGGGACGACAAGATTCAGTCCCAACACTCCATTTACTTCCGAAATATTAACATTCCCCTTACCAGACAGATTCAAGTATCCTAGGATCAAAGAATATGATGGGACCACCGATCCGATCAATCATCTGAACATATACACGGACGTCATGAATCTACAGGTTGCACCAGATCAGGTGATGTGCAAGGCCTTCCCGCAAACTTTGACGAATGCTGCTAGGGATTGGTTCTCAACCTTAGAGCCCAACTCCATAGCCTCATTCTCGGATTTGGCGGACAAGTTCTCCGCTTTCTTCGCAAGCAGCAAACGCATCAGGAAGACAGCAGCTTCCCTCATGCAACTTAGACAAGGGCAAAATGAGACCCTACGTGACTTCATGACCATGTTCAACAAGAAAAGACATCATTCATGGCCGATTCCGCCATATACTGTTATAAGGTCATGCCTTTCGGTTTGAAGAATGCAGGGGCAACATACCAAAGACTCATCAACAAAGTCTTTGCTAACTTGATTGGAAGGAATGTGGAGGCGTACGTTGATGACATGGTGGTCAAGAGCAAACAGGTGGACCAACATATTTCGGATCTTGAAGAAGTGTTCAACACCTTGCGAAAGTACGGAATGAAGTTGAACCCCGCGAAATGTGCATTCGGCGTTGCCTCGGGCAAGTTCTTGGGCTTTATGATCACTCATCGGGGGATAGAGGCCAACTCTGACAAAATACAAGCCTTGGCATCTATGGAATCACCAAGGAACAAGAAAGAGGTACAGAGGTTAACTGGTAGGGTAGCAGCCTTGAACAGGTTCATGTCCCGAGCATCGGACAGGTGCTATCCCTTCTTCAAAGTCCTCAGAGGAAACCAAGGCTTTGATTGGAGTGAAGACTGTGAGAAAACTTTTCAGGAGCTCAAGCAAACATTGGCATCTCCTCCTATTCTCACTAGGCTTGAGGCTGGTAACAACTTATTTTTGTACCTAGCCGTATCTCAAAACGTTTACTTGGCCGTATCTCAAAACGCTGTCAGCGGGGTCTTGGTGAAAGAGGTTAACAAAGTCCAACAGCCTATCTACTATGTAAGCAAGGTCCTACTGGACGCGGAAACCAGATATACTTTGGCAGAACAACTTGCCCTGGCCTTGGTTATAGCAGCAAGGAAACTCCGGCAGTATTTTCAGTCTCACCCTATTGTGGTACTCACTAATCAACCACTTAGGCATATACTTCAGAAGCCGGACGTATCAGGAAGACTGATGAAATGGACAATCGAGCTTGGAGAATTTGACATAGAATTCAAACCACGCCCATCTATCAAAGCCCAAGCTCTGGCCGACTTTATTGCAGAACTAACCCCTAGGCCTCGGGGGCCAGGTGATAGTTCGAGCATGAGCACTAATTCGGACACTTGGCAAATATTTGTGGATGGAGCATCGAACTCCTCGAGCTCGGGCGCAGGGGTCATCATCATCAGCCCTGACAAACAAACAGAGATCCAATGCGCTCTCAGGTTCGAGTTTGAAGCAACCAACAACGAGGCCGAGTATGAGGCCGTCGTTATTGCTCTTGAGCTAGCCCTTTGCCTAGAGCTCGAGTTCGTAAAGATATTCAGCGATTCGCAGCTAGTGGTCGGACAGATTGAAGGATCATTTGAAAAGAAGGAGGAGAAAATGAGTTTGTACTGTATGAAGGTTCAGGATCTTCAACGAAAATTCAAGAGCTGTGAAATTACAAAAATTGCTCGAAAGGACAACGGAAAAGCCGACGCATTGTCCAGGCTTGTGTTCATGGGGGTAGACGGTCTTGACAGAACAGTTCACATTAAAATCATCACAGAACCCAGCATTAGTCAAATATTCGACATCATGGACATTGACAACGAACCATCCTGGATGGACCCCATCATAGAATTAATCACGAATGGAAATCTACCAAGCGATGCCAGGTTGGCTAGAAGCATCAGAGCCCGAGCTCCTAGGTACTGTATGATCAGCGGTGTCCTCTTTCGCAGAAGTATTACTCTTCCATACCTAAGGTGCCTCAGGCCATCAGAATCATCCCAGGCCCTTGCTGAAGTTCATGAAGGTGTGCGCGGGAATCATCAAAGAGCCAGGGCCTTAGCCTTTAAACTCGTACGATATGGATACTACTGGCCAGCTATGAAAAAAGACGCCTCAGAATATGTTAAGAGATGTGATAGGTGCCAGAGGTTTGATAATGTTATCCACTCACCAGCCGAAGACCTCACCAACATTAACTGTTCGGCCCCGTTTGAACAATGGGGAGTTGACATCCTCGGCCCCTTTCCTGTGGCAAGAGGTCAATTAAAATTTGTTGCTGTAGCAGTAGAATACTTCACAAAATGGGTAGAGGCCGAGGCTCTCGCCATAATATCGGAGCCCAAGCTAAGAGCCTTCACTTGGTGGTCTATCATTTGCAGGTTTGGGATACCGAAGGTCCTCATCACCGACAATGGCAGGCAATTTGACAACCAACAGTTTAGAAACTTTTGCTCAAACCTTGGGATTGATCACCGTCTGACATCAGTTTCGCATCCTCAGAGCAACGGTCTGGCCGAGGTAACAAATCGAATCATATTGCAAGACCTCCGAACAAGAATAAGCGATGCTAGGGGTTCTTGGTCCGACGAGCTGCCTTCTATACTTTGGACGTATAGAACAACTCATAGGACAACCACAGGAGAAACCCCTTTTATGTTAGCCTCTGGCATTGAAGCAATGGTCCCAGTGGAAATTAGACTGCCAAGCCATAGGAGGCTCGTGCCAGAAATCTCGGACCATACAACTGAACATCTTGATCTCTTGGAAGAAGTACGGGAGCAAGCCGCTATAAAAGTGGCCTCTTACCAAACTAAAACAGCAAAACATTTTAATAGCAAAGTCAAGGCTCGGAGATTCAGGGTAGGCGATTTGGTCTTAAGGAGGGCCGAAGCAGCAGGCCACCCCCCAGGGAAGCTCGGGCCCATCTGGGAAGGGCCCTTTGAGGTCATACGACAGGTTCGCAAAGGAGCATACAGCCTAAGAGACACTTCGGGTAGACCTCTTCCGAGGCCCTGGAATGCCGACAATCTAAAAATATATTACAAGTAAAATTCCCGACGCCTTTGAGGAGATTTTCTTTTTCTGCATTTTATTTCTAGTTTTTCGGGCCTGCGTGCCCATGCATGTTTTCCGTTCTCTTTTGTAATGAACTACGTTCGACTTGATCCCGTTTGGGTGCGTAGGCAGCTTGGATGCAATATATAAATCCAAGTCCAGTCCAAACAATTAATAAATCCAAACCCCGGGTATAACAGCGCGATAGTTTGCCTTGTCATCAAGGAAACCGACTAAAGCCTTGCCCCGAGCAAACATGTAAGCCTTGTCCTTGACAAGCCAATATAAGCCTTGCCCTCGAGCAAGCCACCTAAAGCCTTGCCTCGAGCAAGCATGTAAGCCTTGTCCTTGACAAGCCAATATAAGCCTTGCCCTCGAGCAAGCCACCTAAAGCCTTGCCCCGAGCAAGCCGTCTAAGCCTTGTCCTTGGCAAGCCAATATAAGCCTTGCCCTCGAGCAAGCCACCTAAAGCCTTGCCCCGAGCAAGCCGTCTAAGCCTTGTCCTCGAGCAAGCCGTCTAAAGCCTTGCCCCGAGCAAGCACGTCAAGCCTTGCCTCGCGCAAACACCAAAATCCTGGAACTCATAATCAGCACATCAAAACAGTGCAACACAAGTATAAGTCCCGAGGACATACATCCCGACCATATATCCTTGTATTCTTTGCTAAGACTGCAAAGCGAAAGCTCGAGGATAAACCCCGAGGTTACCACCCAATGCAAGTAGTCCTCGAGGTAATTCAATATATACGTCGGGAAAGTTTTACCGTCAAGGTGTTGAACTATTCGCTGTTGTCCTCGGCGTTATGACTTGCTTAAAAATCCAATTGTTTTGCCTCAATCGTCATGATTATTTAGTCGTCGGGATATTAATCTTCTTAGTCGTCGAGATAATTAGTTGTCTTTATCGTTGAGATAATTAATCCTTCTCGGTCGTCGAGATATTGGTTAATGTTCGGCTCATATGAAATAAGAAACACGACGATAAACTCGGTGGAAAGGAAAGAAACTATTTCCATTAAGATCGGGCATTTTACAACTACAAAAAATAAAAT